CTAAACCCTAAACCCTAACATGTTGGGTGCCCGAGGCAACCTTTCTGGTGGCCAGCGGTCGAAGCTGTTGCTAGGAGCAGCCTGTTGGACCAAGCCTCACGTGCGGGGCCCTAGGTAAAAAGAGTAAGAATAGTTAAAGTAATAAGTAGAATAGTAGGAGTAACAAACATAGTCGTAATAGTAAAACAATAATAATCATAGGAGTAATAGTAGTAATAGTCATCATAGTAGCTGTAATATTAGGAGAATAGAAATAGTAACAATAGTAGTAATAGTANNAGGAGCAGGAGTAGTAGGAGTAGTAGTAGTAGTAGCAGCAGTAGTAGCAGTAGTAGTAGCAGTAGCAGCAGTAGTGATAATAGTGGCTGTCGGCTTGGTCTGAAGATTCGGAGTTGGGGAATGTGCAGATCATGGGTTTGGATCTTGTTGAGCCATTGGAATGACAAGTTTGGTATGGAATCTTATAGGGGTTATATAGCGGTTATAGGGAATTTTGGGGTTTTATTGGGATAATGGAAAAGAAAACGGAAAGTACCATTTAGGGTTTAAGGTTGAGGGGTTGTATATGGAATAGTGGAAGAGAAATGGAAACTACTGTAGTATATTGGGGCTATATCGTGGTTATATAGGTTTATGTAGGGTTTATATAAATGGGGTTTGTATCAGAAGTAGCACGCAACTGAAAGTCATACGGAGATTCTGCACCTGTGTATAGGATTTTGTCAGCGAGACATGTCGCTGTTTGTTCAGGTTCATATCCACTTTTGCAGTTCCCAGTCTGAGGGACGATGTAGGATTCTTCTGAGAAGCTCCCCAACTCAACAATGGACCCTAAACCCGAAATTACGAGAACCCCATGCTACCGTTCTGCAAATGTACCAGTAACCTGTAAGAGAGCGATTTATCGACGACTGTCCGGGGCGCGCGTTGTGAAGTTCCGTGTTAGCTGATAAGAGGATAATACGGTTCTAGATTCCCTTGACAATTATGGAACAGGTACCCAAAAAAGCTCTCAAAATTATAGTGCCTGCAAATAGGGGAACCCCGCAGTATAGACTCTCAAATACCTTTAGTTCTTACTCTGAAGACCCCCACAAAAAAAGGTTTCCCCATGTTGGAGACCTCCCAATGGTATTATTTAGGCCCCTGTGTTGGCCCGCGGGACAGGTCTTATGCCTCGACGAGCCGACAAATTTTCTGGACATGGAGACGGACGGGTTCCAAGTTGTTTCAAGATGAGCTATAGTCTAAACTCCTTAACGGGGGTTACTTACATAAAGGATGATACAGACGAGTATTAAAGGGGTTCTTCAGGGGGGTTCCAGGAGTTTAGACTCAAGTCCAGGTGCTGTTTCCAAACTTAGGCCTTCCTCTTGGGGTCTGCATGAGAAGGTTTCCCATGTGCGTTAAACAATGTGGAAGATTGTTTTGCCTAGGTCAATGTCCGAGGTTTCTTGCAGAGTCCTGAGAAAACAGGATCCCAGCACTGACCTGACTTAAAATTTGGTTTAAGGAATTGCCTTGAGGGTGTTGTGGCAAGGGGGCATCTCGAAGCCAGGACCTTATTCTTGATGGCGGACAGACAGCGGGAGTTTTGCGTTGACACCAGCCTTCACATCGTCAATAGTTGGAATGACAGTTGTTCAGGTATACGAGCTGGTGCAAAATCTATTCCATGAACAGGAATTCATATGTCAACCGCAGCGAGAGGACATGCTACTGGTTGTATTTCTTAGCGGCCCTTCTGGCTTGGGAGAAACACGGCCCAAGGCCAACGGAAGCTGTCTTATCCTCTTGAGGAGGTGTCTGAATCCTGGGTATGACATCCCCACCGATGACTGCATTGCTGTATTTTGGATGGGCTGGAAAAGGATTATATGTTTACGTTGAAAGCAGCTTTGACCATGTGTCGCCTCAGGCCCCGTTTGGAGAAATTCTACCTGAACCCTAAAAGTATTTTAAGATAATGGTCGTTCGGCTGTTTTTAGGGGTTGTGGTCCATCCATCATTTTACCTACCATTGGGGTTTAGGTAGACCTTAGGTAGACCCCCCACCCTATGATGGTGGTATAATAGGAATATAAGAGGTCCCCAGTATAATGGAGTGTCCACCTACGGTAAACCAAGTTCCCACATTCCATGGATGAGACTGAGCTCGTTTCAGCTCGCAGGGAAGGCATCGGATGTCGCCACTGGAAGTAGCATTTAAACCACTGGCTCAGCTCGGGGTGTTATAAAAGCACCAGGCACGCTTCTATAATCCCCAGAACTTCTATGTGTAGTCCTTAATTAATCAATTTTATGTGTATACATATATGTATATATCATATATATATATATCTCTCTCTCTCTCTCTCTCCCTTTCTCCCCCCATGGAGAACTGAACACGCATTCGACCAAGAAACTCAAGTTCTGAGCATCCTACAGCTGCTTGCATACCACCCGTGACCCGTGACAGACACACCTTGATGTTTAGGGCTTAGGGTTTAGGCTACTATAGTACATCTATATGTATAGAGAGAGAGAGAGAG